ATGCGAAATAATTTATTTGAAGAGGTCATCGTAGCGCTTCAGACACGAATACCATTCGTAGTCTAGAAAAAAAGGGGGGAAAGAACAGTTAGCATGGCAAGCAAGCACGAAGAGTCTCACAAAAGTATCAAGTGCTAACCAAAGTTTTCCTTTTCTGAACACCAACACTTCCCGCGCGAATGCTCAGCACCTTGTGGACAATGTTGGAAGGGTTCATGGCGGTAACCGATGTCGTTGAAAAAGTGGATCTGATCCTTGCGCGCGAAGAGCGCAGCGGCGATACTGTGAACAGGCGCGTCGCCCCAGCGCTCGTAGTAGAAGCCGCCTGCCGCATCGAGGTAGTCGAAGAATTTAGAGTACGCTTCGCCGCGCCAGAAGTCGAGATCGCCGATCTCGAAGTTGCTCCAGACTGAGTAGTAAAGAGTAGACGAGGTTAGAAGAGAACGTGGCCGTGAAAGGAGAAACGTACAATGACATCTGTTATAGGTCTCGCCTCCGTCATCTGAGATGAAACTCATGGCGTTATCTTCCGGGGTCAGTCCAGGGTTCTCCTTGAGGAAATTTTTGACTTCCTGCCATAGGGTCGGGATAGTGGCCGCGTACTCATAGAGGGAAATGGTGAATCCTGGGGGAAATGTCAATAGTCAGAGATTCTGTATAGAAGACGCAGAACAAAGAAATCTCAGCCTACCGTAAACTTTCTTCTGATCCTGCATGACAAGGAAAGGATCATAATGAAGATCACAAAAGAATTGGACATCGGGCCTGTGCAGAATGACACGGTGAGATTGTTTAGTGCCAACGATATCCAAATCGTGCGCTCACTCCACGCGCCAGTAGTAGCGGTAATTCTTCAAAAGTTCATGACGATAGAAGAACTGAAAGATATATGTTTAGTAACACTAAACACGACAAATGATATGACGAAGAGCATACTCCCGAGTTATAGCGACACATGTTACGGTAACTGGATAAAGTGAAGAAGTTAATGAAAACAAAACGCGACCAGAGGTTCGTTAGCAGACTCACGGAAGGCTTCCTCCATAGATGACATTTTCTTTAATCATCTTCTCGCGTGCAGCAGATGCCTTCATTTCGTCGATGGAGGCTGGCTGATACCATTCCTCCTTCGATATCATGCCATAGTGAACTTCACTGTCCGTTAATTCCGAAGTACGTCTTGCAGATACTTGTTCAGCATTCGCATTTTTATGGCCTCAAAGCTATAGCTCACTTCTTGAATTCCTCATTGAAAGGCTCCTCATTCAAGAATACCCATGGGTAATGGAACTCCTTGTTAAACCTGTCCTCAGCCTGTTTCATGCTCTTAATGACGCCAGCAATGTCGTTGTTCCGCGCCAGCACAACAAATGTCGCATTCGCTTTCCTCGTCAACGGGTCCCCAGGCTTTTCGGGATGGAAGTATTCGTCACTGAGAGGCTGCTTATACGGTGGGCCGGCCTTGTCCCCGAGATGCAGCTGGCCAGCAACGTTAGCGATGGATGTCGCCCTGCCATAGCCTTCATGCGAGAAGCTCAGGATATAATGCAAGCTCAACTGCGCGTGGTGTAAGATACATAGCACAGGTAAATATTGAGGCGGGTCACTTACAATGATGACCAGCACCAACAGCACGTATCGCATTGGTGTCATCATCTTGAAGCCAGTATGTGCCCGTCACAGGGACGGGGATGCTGGAGAATGGATTACAGGCCACCGAAGACGCAGCGGCGGTGTCGTGGTCAGTGGTAGTGGTGGATGAAGGTGACAACGACGGTCAGATGAGGATGAGAGCACACGTCGGGCGGCGATCACTGCGCAGCTGGAGACTATGTATGTGAGGTCTACGCCCAAATATAGTATCTGTGGGGTTTGTAGCTTCCTAATTTAGATCGGCTGATTTTGGTCATTTGCGAATTTTCGACCGTCTACTCATTCCGTACGACCGCGATGGCCAGCACCTCGCAAGAGAAAGTTGGTCCCCTGGATGTCACCCCGCCCCCAAAGTCGGTGCTGCCTTCGTTCCTCTCCCCGGTCACCAATGTCTATGACCGTTTTGCACAATGGCGGTCAAGCCTTGGGTTGTCGTACCCGGGCAACGTCGAGAGCTTGCAAAAAGAGGTCAAAGGTCGGTACACGTAGCAACGACTCGCTCCATGTGTCCAACTGAAAACCCCTTGTAGCAACACACTTGACCAACTACATATTCGACGGCGCTCGTGCAGACCTGACGAAGGCTTTATCAGTAACACCGGCTTTCCAGGTTACACACTCCTTTTCTCTTGCTTCCCAGACAGCTTTACCTTCCTATAATTTTGGTGCTATTTTTGCCAACTCAAAAGTACGTTTTATCCGTGAAGATTACATGCACCATGTTAAAACTTGTCTAGGTATTTATGCAAGGTGGTGTCGATCATGAGGGCACGGTAAACGGACGATTTAACGCCGGATGGAATGACAAGAACGTCACGAAGGCTCAATTGCAGGTATGTTGTCTTGCATGCTCAATGTAGAGCTACTTCTAATTCTTTGGACAGCTCTCACAGCAGCATGGTGCCAGCATGATTCAGATGGAACACGACTATCAGGGAGCCGACTACTCTCTCAACGTGAAGGCGTTGAATCCCTCTCCAGTCGATGCGTCCGGCATTTTCATAGGCAGCTACCTCCAGTCCATCACTCCTAATCTCGCTCTGGGTTCGGAAGTTCTGTACCAGCGGGGCGGTCCTATGGAGATTCCTGCCGCGCCCTCCTACCTTGCCAAGTACATGAGCAGTGACAAGAGTTGGATCGCAACCGCGCAGTTGCAACCAATGGGCATGCTCTCCGCGACGTATTGGCAGAAGCTGAGCGAGAAGGTTGAAGCTGCCGCGGATTTGCAGGTCGTCGTCGCGAATGGGAAGCGCGAGGGCGTCGCGACGCTTGGTGCTAAATACGATCTACGAATGGCGACGTTCCGAGCGCAGCTTGATTCGACCGGGAAAGTCTCCGCTATGCTCGAGCAGCGCTTTGCGCCGACATTCGCATTCATGGTTGCTGGGGAGATCGATCACTTCAAGGTTTGTGCACACATTGCTCCTGAAATTTACTTATCTAACGCCTGTTTCTGCTCAGAATGCTGCAAAAATTGGCGTTGGTGTCATGATCGAGAGCTCGAGTTTGACACCAGAGGAGATGGGTTTGGTCCCGCCTCCGGGTTACCCTCCTCCTGCACCCTATCCTTAATGGACGGACTTTTTTTGATAGCAGCAATAGATACACTACATCTCCGCATATATTTTCCCTTGCTTTTTCGCATTTTTGTTTTTGTCGTCGTACTGCTCCGTGTCTCGCTGAGCAACCTGAACCCCAATTCCCTTGAGATCCACGTGTCTGTCGCGATCAATCTCATTTGACGCGAGATCGTGTTTGCCTGAGAACTCGCTGTTCATGTCCAACGACGCTGCTAGTGATCATCCGTTGCTTGAGCTGCGCAATTTAGGCTGCTCCTTGACAAATGGCATCCCTATATTCCGCGACGTGAATTTTACGGTAGGCAAAGGGGACATTATCGTCTTGCAAGGCAAGAGCGGATGTGGGTACGGCCTCAGCCTCCTGGGCAAATAATCTCGGGCTCAGACTACTCGTCTGACGACTTTGTCGCATACAACTGGGATGCAGGAAAACAACATTGTTAAAATGCCTCGCTCATCTCAACGTATATGAAGGTGAAGTCCTCTATCGCGGAAAGTGAGGTAATGTTCTATTCTACGTATCTTGGCTCCTTCTAACCCCCTCCCACCTCTGCGCGCGCTCCAAAGAACGCCTAAACAGTACGGTGCGTTACAGTCTAGGTACCTGCACATCTCTGACTCTAGACTCTAATACATCTGTGAATGTTCGAATAGGTGTCCCGAACTACCGCACGCGTGTCCTCTACGTTCCTCAGCGCCCGTCGCTTCTTCCAGGCACGCCACGCGACTTTCTGAAACAGCTGAGCACCTTCCGTGCATATAAGGCCCAGTCCGAAGGGCGCGATGGCGATAGTGCGACCGGATTTAGCTTTGATACGCGCGCCGTCGACATTGCGGAGAGTTGGGGCGTGGAAGAAGCGCTGTGGGATCGGCCTTGGACGACGCTGAGCGGCGGTGAAGCTCAGCGCATTGCCTTAGCAGCAGCGCTGGGACTCAACTGCGCAGAAGTCGTGCTTCTCGACGGTAAGTCCCATCATCTTTTGACTTCTACACGTTCTTATAAAATGCTGACTTGCTGCTTATGTACCTTTTTTTGCAGAGCCCACCTCCGCGCTGGACTCTGAGTCATGCGGACGCGTCGAGACATACCTGCGCAACATGCTGAGCGCGAGCGATGTGTCGACCAAGGCGTTTGTCATGATCACACACTCGGCAGAGCAGGCACGTCGCATCGGGACGCGCTTCGTAGAGGTCGCTGACGGGACATGTCGGGAGGTTCCCTTGACGGACGGTGTAGTGTAGACTGTACGCATTTCAGGCTCAGAAGTTCTTGGAAAGTATAAACGTTTAGTCAGTCCATATTCCGTCCACGAGCTGGCGCTAGACTGAATAAACGCTTCGAGTCAGTCTTGTGAGTCCTGTTCACCGAGGGACAGGAACTCTTGATTCACTTGTGTTTCTTGGCAGTAATATAGTGTTTCAGGGGGGGGGGGGGGGGGGGGGGGGGCGAGCTTAGCTGAAACAAGCAGAAATATATAACCAAAGAAACAAAGCCTAAGTCTGCGACACGCTAACCGTCAACACTCCGTTAGTCTCCACTTTCGCTCAAATTGAAAGGGTCTTTGACTCACCCTGACGAAAAAATGCCTACAAAATATTGTTCGGAATATTTCGGATGTCCCAGGTTTGCATCAGAAGTCTGTACCACTGTGCTCAGAGAAAAATTATTTGCAGTGAATGTGAATTGAGAAATAATAAATTGGTACTCAAACTTTGAGCAAAGACTTTGAACTTGAGCTAAATCACAAAAAAATAAAAGCAAAATGCTGGTTCCTCCGAGGATTGAACTCGGGACCCTTGCATAAAGAGTTAGATTATCCACATAAGTACAATGCACTACCACTGTGCTAAGGAACCACCAAGCACACTTCTCACCTGTTAAATCAGGCCGAAGTATTGTGATTGCATCCCTCCAAAACTATGTGCATATCTGTTGAGGCAGGAGGTTCTGCACCATGCAACATCTAAGCCAATACCGGAAGTGCTGATTTTCAGAAATACAGCTCAATCCATACTACTGTGATTTGTGTAATGTGCACCAGATAACCAGACAGTTTGCCGGTATGAGATTGCTGGCCTTAGTGTTTCTATCTTGTATTCTTGCTTGTATAGTGATAGTCAGAGACCTTTATAAAGGAAGACAGCTAATGTTGAATGTAACCAACCAAAGAGAATTTTGTTTGACGTCACGAGTACAGTCATTCACCGGTCAATGGGACATCACCACTCAATGGGACACCCGCCTAAAACACCCATTTCTCAACTGTTTTTTCCAATTAATTTTGCGATTTCGAGCTTGAATGCATGTCAAAGTACTGTATACCAAGTGTGAGCCAGCCAGGCTCAGTATTGCTTGAGAAATGCTCAAAATACAGTCAAATCGTACTAAAATGGTAACTGCAACTTGGTGTGACACAATACATTCTGCCTTCTGCACAAATTTTCTCCCTTTGGATCTACACTGATTTTTCATATAATGAGAGGAGAATATGTCTGTAACATAAACATGACATTATATGAAGGAGAATCTGAACAGATCTTGAGAATGACAGTATATATGCTCTATCCTATCATGAGGTCACAGGTGTTACAGAAGTCCCATATGTGTCCTAGATGGCTTCGAAGACAATTTAATTATTCAACATTATATAAATCCATGGTTAGAGGCATATTCACGAAGAGGACATCTGTAGCTACCAGTACATGCACTTACCATATTATTTGGTGGCCAGTACCACCCGTAGTTACTCTACTATTGTGGTAAGGGTCGTGGGAAAGCTACTGTCCCATTGAGCGGTGAGGAGCAAAAACGTCACAACTTTTTGTTTTCACTATATCTCTTTCATATCTCCTTTATTTTACACAAAATTCTGTAAGGACATTCTAAAGTAGTTTGTTTACCTTAGAATGGATCACGTGCAGGAAACGCGTCGCGCCTGATCAGCGTAACTACTAATTGCACATTTCTCCTTCACCTTTTCCCCTCAAATATAAGCACCATAAGCACTGCGTATCCAGAACCGAAAGGCGTGTTTCACGCAGCGGCAGGGTATGAGCTCGGGTTCAGAGCTCATAAATGGACCAAGCATTGTTTCGCAAACCGCATTTTAATGCAATGATGCGTGCAAACCTCGAGATTACAAACACATATATGATATTTGTACAAATCTGGCATACGTATATCGCATAACTGATTCAAGATGGCTATTAAGACATGTATATGCTACAAAGTGGTAAGGAAAGCATCGAGTTGCCGATGCACGACAGATAAAGTACGCAGTGAAGGAGCAAGGAATATGCGCAAAGACAGGAGGCGGGAAAAAGAGAGTGATGTCACCTCGGCGGGTGGTGGCCGTTCGCCATCTGGTTCTCCTTTTCCCCGCTTCCCCCACCGTTGGCGGAAATCCCGGCTAGCGCGGCGCCCGCGCCGTTCACGCCAGCGCGCTCGATGAGCGAGAGCACCTCGGGCAGGCGCTGCACCTTCTCGACATTTTCGCGTAGGAGGTCGAACTGCGGCACCGCGCCGCGCACCGTCTGCACGAGCTCCGCACGCGTTTCCGCGAGGCGTGCGGAGAGATCGTCGCGCACCGCGTCGAGCAGCCGCGGGAGCAACGCCGCCACGAGCTCGTCTAAGGATGGCACGTGTGGTGGCGGCGGCGGAATTACGTTACGCTGAACGAGCGCGTTCACCGCGGCCGTCTCCTCGACGTTCGCGCGGATCTGCGCCTGCATCTCTTCCGCTTTTTTGCGTTCTGAATCTAACAGCGCGCGGACCTGAGACAGGAATCACATGAGATAGCGTATGGAATAGAAAGGAGGAAAAAAGACACAGACTTGCTCCCTCTCCCTTGCTATCTGTTCGCTCTCCGCGATGCGATTCGCCTTCCATGTATTGAGCTCACTGGACTCGTTAAGCAGTCCGGACACCGTGACCGCCAGTTCAGAGACATCGGTCCCGGTCTGCTCGACGTCCGCCTCGACCTGGAGGAGGCGCCCCGCCTGGTTCGCGTGCACGTCCGCCTCGAACGTGCTGCGCCAGCCCTCGAGCCGCGCGTCGATCACGTTCCCGACCTCCTCGAGCCGGTCGTGCTCCGTCTGCGTGCATAGGTTATCGAGGTCCGCGTAGTTCGTCTCGAGCGCCTCGATACGCCGCGTGAGGCGCACCGCGTCCAGTGTATCGAGCGCGTCGCTTTGAGGGGGCACGGAGCCAGCAACGACGGTTGACCCGCCGTCACTCGCGTACGCGCCGTCATCGCCGACCTTCCGGCGTTTCGCGCCGCGCGCGGTGTCCGAGTGCTGATCCACGGACGTCACCGACGCCGACGTGGACGCCCCGAGCGCAAGCGATTTGACGAACGCGGTGGTCTCCTTTAGCCGGAGGTCGATGCGCTGCACTGTCTCGTCAAGGTCGTTGACATCCCTCCTCAGGTCATCGGCCTCTTCCTCCCAGAGTGCGTTGACCCCTCCCCCATCCTCCTGCCTTACGTCCCCCGCAGGAGGCCTCTTGCGGACGGGCCAGAAGTCCAGCTCGTATATTTTATCCAGGCTGGCGTCCACACGCGTCTTCGCAGCTGCTACGAGTTTCTCGGCGGACTGCACGCTTGCGGCCATCTTCTCGCGTACGGCAGCCGGCGCGCCGGCGTTGCGCGGCGCTGCGAGAACGGCGCGCAAGATTTTGAGGTCTGAGACATGTCGTTTGTAGGCATCACGCGCGCGGACGGCATTGGAGAGCAGTCTGCGCTGTGATCAGCCTTTATGTAAAAAAGTCGGCAAGGAAAAGAACACGTACTCTATTCGTTTGTCCCAGAGTTTTCGCCGCTCCTCGAGCGAGAGGACCTCCTTTCTAGGTTCGGGCTCCGCGGCCGACGAAAGAAACGACGGAAGTACAGGGACAGCGGATGTCGGAGTCACCATCGTGGGCGTCGGCGGGGGCGGCATGGCGTTCTGGTCGAATTGCTGCTGGGAGTCGAAGCTCGCGGCGGACGCGGCGGAATCCGGCGGGTGGGGCAGGCCCGCGCTGAATGATGAGAGCGCAGAAGACCCGGTGGGCGGCGGGGGCGCGAGCGACGGGAAGCGGTCCGCGGGCGGCGGCGGCGGAGGAACGGGTGGAGGATAAGGGGGCGTTCGAGCGCCGTCACGAACTTTATTAAAATTTACGTTTCATTCTTGTGCATACAGTCCAAACCATAAGCAACCAGGGACCTACAATCAGTCGGCTCCCTGCCGAACAAGGGCGTTGAGGGCGTGCGCCGCTCGCCGCCCGACGCGGACAGGGCTGTACTGCCCATGCGTCGCATGTCGATAGACGGCCTCTGCGTCGGCGTGCGGTCGAAAGACGACTGCGGCAGGTCGCCGCTTGCTGTGCGCCGGCGCTCGCTGATGTCCATAAGGCTCGCACGGCGAGCCTCGTAGTTGCTCGAGGAGGGGTCGCGCGGCGCCTTCCAGCGCCCTTGGGTACGATCGAGCGTGTGGTCACGATCCCTGTCGTAGATTCTGTCTTTGTCCCACCCTCGGTCTCGATCTCGAGACCGGTCCTTCTCGCGGTCGCGGTCTCGCTCCCACTCGCGATCTCTGATATCGCTGTGCCTCGCGCGCTCGTAGTCTTCATCTCTCTCCCTGTCCCTTCCTCGCTCTCTGTCCCTGCTGCGATCACGGTCGCGTGCGCTGGACCTGGAGGAGTCGTGACTGCGCCTGCGGGTGTCAAGAGTATCAGGCTCGATGTTGCCGAAGGAGATGGAGGGGGACATGTGTTCCTCCTTGACGGCGGGCTCGCGCTCCGGGGTGCGGAGGCGGCTAGCGAGGGACGCAGACGCCCTCGGGGGCGGTGAGGGCGTCGGGGGAACGACGCCAGCTTTGTAGTGGAAGGGTTTGGGGGGACTGGAGAAGGGGGCGCGGAGCCAATTGTCGTCGTCGGGGTGGACGAAGTTGCATCTCCCTTCGTTGAAGGAGCAGCCGAGGGCGGCGCGGCCTGTGCGCCCTTGTTCGAGTTTCTTCGGGTTGACACGAGGCTCGCCGAACTCGTTGAACCACTGCACGACAAATCGTCAAATGAGAGACCGTCGGCGCTGCGGTGAGCAGACTGCTCACCATGCATCTTTGGAAACGCTTGAAGGTTTTGGGCGGCGGCATCGCGAAATGTTCACGGACGATGTGGAGGGCAAGCTTTGAGAAATTTTGACACTGACGGGCTGGGGAGGATCGACGTCCCAGTCTGCTGAGTATGTATTAGCTCCAAATGGGACCACCGCCGACCACAGCGACCACAGCGACACACGCAGTGCTCAGTACTCGCTGCACAACGAGCTCATTATTTATTTAATTATATTTTCTACTACTCTTGATGTCGAGCGTGTCGCGTCGAGCACGCTGCAAAAATGTGGTGGCCAAACAAGTTGCCTCGTGCTCTGGTGTGCAAACAAGGAGCAAAAAAGGAATAAATTTATAACGCAGACTTCAACTTGAATTCCTCTCTACCCAACTCAACCAGCGACCCCTTCCATCTCCTCCCTCTCCTCATCGTCTCCCGCCCTCCTCCTCGTCGCCCACGCTGTCGGCCACAACCTCCTTCATCACTTACGCCCGGCCCTCCGTTCCCGCACCCACCTCCATCTCTCCCTCCCACTCCGTCAGCGTCAGGCACATGGCAAACCCTTCTTCCTCTCACCACGACCGCGACAGGGAGCGCGAGAGGGAGCGCACCGTCCGCGAGCGCTCCCATCACCACCACCGCACCATTTCTTCCACCACCCTCCTCCTTATTCTCTCCCTCGTCCTTGCTGTCCTCGCGGTCATGCTCTCCCTCCCCTCAACACGCACTCCTGGGTCTTCTTCTGCTCTCAACAACCCCATTGACAGCC